TTCTAGGAGAAATATATGTTTATTGTAGATATATAATCATTTTGATTGGTGCAATAGCAAGTACAATAGACAATCTTGATATGATAGTCCTGATAGCATGAGAGGGCATAAAGTATGTCAGGGAAATTACAGGGTAATTCATTTATAAAAAATACAAGTAAAAATCCAAATGAAACTGCTTAAAATTGGAAAATAAACTCTATGGAAATGCCTGCCACAACCAGAGTCTACAGGCCAAAGCACTAACTTGCAAGAAAGTCAATGGGCCAAAGGGCCAACTTTTAAGAAAGTCAGGCACCTCCTCTCAAAACTACCATTACCCAACATCAACCCCCACAGTTATTCTACAATACATTCTATTCATGACCCCCACCTAACCACCCAACCAGGGGGATAAATAGGGGATAAAGTTTAGCTACTGCTAATAAGAACTTATTGAAACACTTGTTTGTTCTGGGAAATGCATCTTGAACATGGGCTAAGTAGCCAACAAAATGTTTCCAGTGGCCAAACTGCAGTATGCCCCTTTCAGCATCCCACCACTTCTGCTTGATATTGTTTGTGTGTGCACCAGTGACAGGGTTAACAAAATTTTTTGAATGATTGACTTGTAAATGCTTATAGCCTTCAGCAGTTGTGTGACTTCCAGCAGTCTTATATGACCAAGGCCCCTGGGGCTATTTGTTTTTTTATGATTGCTAAGAATGTCTCACTGTTTCTTTTTTTGACAGGAATGAGATGTATATATGTTTTGTTTCCCAACTAGAGCCCCCCAAAACCCACTGTCTGTCAGTTACCCTGCCCACGTTATATTTCCTTTTTCCGAATTTTGACTCGTCTATTTCTACAATTTGGAATTTTCCACCAAGTGTCTCACTACTATTTTCAAAACACCAGTCACTTAACACCTCATGTACAAAACTTGCCCACTCACAAATGTCAGAGAGGTCAAGATCATCTTATTCACTTATCATTGCATAAGTATAAATTGCAGAGTAGTAAATTTGTTTCAATGTCCAATTTATTTTTACTGAACCACGCACCTTTGAAAATTGATACAGCAAAATTCACCTTCGTATTCCTTTCTTTTTTATAGTGTGTGTTTGAACACACCTGAATTTTATTCGGCTCTTATTTCCACACTTTGAACAATAAATTTGATTACTCAGCACACCAAGGCTTGCACAAGTATCCAGTATGTATTGGCTGAAAGAAAAAGACCATAGCCAAGATCACAGTCAGAACAAAACTATCAAAGAAGAGTTAAGAAACTCTCAAAAACCCCAGCACAAAAACACAGATATGCAAAAAATTACTTAAAAAAACTAATTTTCACAAGCGCATAGAAACACAAACTAGTTAACATGTTGCACTAATGAGTTATGTCACTCTCTCATTCTATCTGTTACAGGCAAATTTTACTTGTACCATATGGTGGTGTGAAATTGAAACTATACCATATATGGTAATGCATATATTAAAATTCAATCAAAGTAAGGGTAATTGTTTAGAATACCTTTGCATGAGCAATATATATAGGATATTTGCTGTAGAAATCCCCCAAAGCCCTACAGGCTTATCCCTTATTGCAAGGAAGGGCATGGAAGGGAAATTGCAGGGTAAAATATGCGCAAAGTACGCCACTATGATTATGAAATATATCTAATGTAGGGGGCTGTTCCCCATGCGACCCTCGTGCCAGTAGACAGAATCCTCCACATATTCATGGCAGGATAGAGTGTATAACTGACATGCAGGGTGACCATAGCAAGATACAGCCTAGGAATGATAATTTACTAACCTGATAAATGGATGATGATCTGGAATACCCAACATTCTAATCAGTATATCATGCTGACCATATCACAACTTAGTATGCTGTTACTCAGGGTACATTCCTGTACCCATAAGATTTTACTATTGGTCCATCCTGACATACATATGTGGGGTATTCTTTGTAGTATCAGACTGGTTGGGAACCTGCTATCCCCTCAACATTGTTGGTGGGGGTGGGGGGAGGGGGCTGGATCTGCAGCTCATTTCCTAGATGTATGGGTAGTAGAGTGTGAAATTTATAGTTGTGAATGTTTCTAAAGGCAGTTATGCCCCCCCCCCCACACACACACACACAGAAAAAGAAAAGAAAAAATTCTTGTAAATTTCAGCGACTGTGGCATCAGAGACAGTAGCAACATCATTCAGTCATAATTGAAACCTCAGTCATGTTCACACGTTTCTCACTTGGATCTAGATTTTCCTCAACACTACGGATTAAACTGAATTCAGTTTTAAAGAGAATTATTAAATGATTTTGAGGATAGTTTTTATCAAAATGAAAATTGGATTTTTACCTTTGAATTACAGAATTACTGAATTATAGAATTTATGTAATTTATTAGTTAGGATGAATTAAAGATAGGATTTATGTGATAAATAAAATCATATTCCAGAAGTACTTCAGTTATTAATAATGTATTTTTTTCTCAACAGCTACTTAAGAAATTGTCCAGGAGAAAGAAAAGTACTGAGCCCTCAGTAAAGACAATGGCAGTCCTGAAGAAGGCTGCAGCAGCTCCAGGAGAGAAGGGGTCTCCTCTGAATGGAGTAAAGAAGAACGCAAAGGGGAAAAAGAAAAAGGCCAATGCAGTATCCGTAGAAAAGAAGGAACCTACCGTAGAGAAGAACGATGCCCCTGTAAAGACTGTGGAAGTCAAGAAGGCTGCAGATGCTCCAGCTAATGAAGCAAAGAAGGCAAAGGGGAAGAAAGGAGCCAAGTTAGTATCTGGAGAAGAGAAGAAACCCACTGTAGAGAAGACTGGTGTCACGGAAAAGACTCCAGACGTTCCAGGAGAGAACAAGGTAGCGCCTCAAAATGAACGGAAGAAGAGGAAGATACGGGGGAAGAAGAAGAAGAGATCTGAAGTAGAGAAGAAGGATGATGATACTGCTCCTGCAAAGAAAAAGAGAACCAGGAGGAGGCGGCCCAAGAAGAGGAAAGCCGCTGCAGAGAACCCCGAGGAGGAGACGAATGAAGCAAAGAAAGCAAAGTTAGAGGTTCCAGATGAGAAGGTGTGTTGAAGTTATGTTATTGTGATGTATACTTGTACTCCCTCAAGTAAAACACTTGCAGTCAGATAGGTACAAACAATGTATCCAAATTTGCGTGACAATAACATGTGTTAATGTATGGTGAAAGTCTTGTCAGAGAATAAATCCTTACAAATGCTAAATATAGGTTTTATATACAAATATTTTCTTATTACAATGTAGTAGAATATACAGGTATTGAAGAATATTTAAACAAAACTAGAACATGATATTAAGAATAGATTAATGTATAAATCATAAAAGAAAAAACAGCTAGCCTCAGTTAAAGTTAAATACTATGAGCATTTTACTGGGATATTTAGGGTGCTTCAGAAAACTTAGAGATATTTAAAAAAGAAAAGGAAAAAAGAAACCTAACCTTCTTTGATGAATAATCAAGTCTCTATAGAATTCTTACTTTTGGAAAGGCACAAGCTGTATCACATCTTTTCAAGGGGCAATTTTTATTCAAACATTTTAAGTATGTTATGGTTTTGTTAACCATTTACTGCCGGGTCACACCTTGCGGCGTCATAGCAAACCACTTGGTCTGCAGAGTACAGATGTATGCTGCAACGATGCACCAAAACGCTTCAGCCAGTGACGTTTGGCGTGATAGAGCAAACCAAACTCTCGCACTCAAAGTTGGCATGTTGCCATTAATCTCCAGAGCGTAGAGTTTTGTATTTTCTTCACCCGGCAGTGTTGGTTTAAGATTATTATAACAGCTGCCTAAGTGTGGCCAACCTAAATCTTTACAAAACAAGACTAATAAAAAAAACTACACAGCACCTACACACCCCTATGATCTGGATAACATAACCATTACATTACATAAAAAATTGGCTTGAAGGGAGAGGTGACATGAACATGCT